TCAGGCCCAAGGCCCAAAACAACCCTAAATCACACTAAGGTACATGCATTACTTATACGAAACTCATACTCTAACTTTAGCATCGAAGTCTCTTTTGCAGGTACCACCCCCATCTTGAAACACGAGACGTACCCGTGAAGGAGGCTCACCAATCTTGCTTGAAGAATCAACCCTACGGCAAATTTCCAGTAAGAACAGTTTTATTACTGTACTATCTTTTGAAGATATAATATATGAAATCTTGATAATTAAACTAAATTAATGCATGGGTTCCAACCAAATCATGATAAGCTTCGCGAAATTGAATTAATTTTGTTTTTGTAATTTTACGTTAAAACCAATCCGTTTGATATGATATTATTATTTCTTTACGTGGAAGAGAGCAGAGAATTTCAACCCCTCTGATCCATTTGTTTGTGTTGTCTCTTTAATATTCCTTGGCTAGCATGATCATAAGTAGGCACACGACTAAGATCACATAAATCATTCACATGATATAATATTATTTTTAAAATTGAAGAAAGAAATTCTTTATATTTAAAGCAATTAAGATCAATCTACTGGCAAGCAAACTTACATACTTAGTAATCCAAAATCAACAAGCTTAACAACTCCAATAGAGTAAGCAAGCAAGTTAGCTCCTTTGATGTTCCTGTATGCACATACATGAAAAATATATATAAACAAAGACATGACTTAAAGGTTCAAATTTAAAATGAATTAAAAGTTATAAAAAAAAAAACAATATTTTTCCACCGAAAATAATGTATAAAATGAGTATTTTTATACATTCAAACAACCACATTTAGCATACATATTTATAAGTATATTGCTCACAGAGATGCTATGTTTTAGCTTAATTAATGCAACTCAATTAGATCCTGGTGCTTCTGAAAAAAGAAATATAAATGTGTGATTTGTGTATAATGAATCTTAATTCTCAATTAAACCAAACCACTCAATTTTTAATTTCTTGGTTCAAACTAAACATGATAATTCTATTATTTCTCAAATTAGTTAAGCTTTATCCTATCAAACAGTTTGTGCTCAATTTTTCTCTTCAAATTTCTAATTACGGGGATAGCCAACATCGGCATAAAGATTGGCTTAACATTTCAAACATTTAATTTTTATATTGTGCCTAAAGCCAAATTTCACTCTTAAATTACTTTTCCTTGTTCTTCAAATCTTAATCTTCCATAAAGTACTTACACAAGCTAACATGTAACTGAATTTCAACTTTTCAAAATAAACAGTGTGCAACCATTTTAAGACGTAAATGTGACCTGATGAGTTGATAATACTATTGCCCCGCACTCGCAATGTGTTGTAGTGCTTGAAACTGTATCTTAGGTAATCTTCGTTAACACTGCAAAAAATAGCAAAAATAAATCAATTAGCCCCATCTACAACAATCCCCTCGCTCAACAACCTCTTGCTAGGACCTCTCTTCCAAGTTCCTAACAGGCTCAATCCCCTCGTTGTTCTCCAATCGCTTCCAGGGGGAGATTCCCCTGCAGCTCACATTGTGCCCAGATTCAATGGTTACGGCGTCTCTCCTTGTAGAAGGCATCAACGGAGTCACGGGAGGCGACGACTTGCGCGACAATGGCGGTGGCGTCCGCGACAAAACCCTACTCCTATTGTATTATGTTTATATAGGTTAGAATGCAAATACCTCTTGGCGAAGACGAATGGAGATTGTTGGCGAGGGAACCCGAACGGAGGAAAACGCTAATGGTGAGCTTGAACGAAAGCACGACAAAGCTAAGACCCAAAAGTGAAGAATGAAGCACGAGAGAGTGGATAACAAAGTTGAAAAAGTGGAGAACTCAAATATTTAAAATTGTTAATAAAAGAACCAATTTTAAGATCAGTTAAAATTTAACCGATTTTAAAAGTGGTGATTTTAGTTACAAAAATGCCACCGCCTCCCTTTTAAAATCGGCTCCCCCTTAACCAATTTTAAAACCTCGATTTTAAAAGCTATTTTTGTACTAGTGAAATAAGCTTTACAAAATATAATTACCTTATTCATAAGTTAATCGGTAAAAACTTTTTACATTAACTTCTCCAAAATCTTAATTTTAACTTAGGTATAAGCTTTCTCCAAAATCTTATTTATAAGCTAGTAAGTTTCAACTTATAAAAAACTTATTTAGATTTTCCTTCTTATTTTTCTATGCCATAGAAGTGCTTCTAGAAAAGTATATCCAAACAGAATTATATTAAACAATGAATTAACAACAACAACCGTTACCAACTTTTACAAATTTACTACTGCTAACACGAACCCCACCACTCATCTACAGAACATGATCTCATCTCAACAAGAGAAAAAGAGCAACAAAAAAATCTCTTAACAAATTTGTAGTAAAATAGAATACTTCATGCAGAGAAATGTGATGTTTAGCTTCCTCAGATTGTGAAGAAGAATGAGGAGAAAGGATGAAACGGTAGCAAACATTGGGGGAACAACTATGGTTGATCCAAGAGAAGGTGTTTTCAAAGACTACGATTTCAAGGGCACTCCTTTCACTATCCTACACCTCCACGATGTTTGTTAGCATGATGTAGAGCGCGACCTTCACCTCCTCCAAAACGGTGTCATTGTAGGGAATGTCGTGTTGCTCCGCTATGGCTTGGGTGATGGCACTAGCACTGACCTTGATTTTCTTGGAAACATCATCGTCTTGGTGAGCTATGAGGATGTGGTAGTTGGAGAGGAAGGTGGAGAGGGAGACGGAGGGTGGCGCGAATGTCGGAGGAGTGAGCGGAGGGAGGGAGGTGGTGATCGGCGAAGGAGGGGGAGGAGAGTGCGGTGACACAAGGAGGGGAGCAAAAGAAAAGAGAATTGGGATTGGGATTGAGAAAGAAACAAGCAGAGCAGTGAGTGTGAAGATGGGAATTCTAGAGAGAGAAAGAGAGAATCATCTTTAATTTCTTCTTTTCTATGTTTCTTCTTGCTCTACTCTTCAACTCAAACGCGTAGAGTGTTGGTCCCGGATAGAACACAAATATAGAAGGGGAGTTGTATAGATTCTTCGCCTAGACAACTTCTAATGGTCTTTCAAACTTTCTTTCTAATTTCTTTCTTTCTTATAACAATTTCACTAATCACATTCAGATTACAATATAATTGAGATACACAATATATCATATTTAATACAAAGTATATCAAATTTATTATAACGTATATCATATTTATTACACAACGGAACAAATGTTGTAATCCAAATTGATTTTAGTAATTACCTTCTTCCACTTTATTACAAGATTGCATATATCATATTAGATTTCACAAAGCAACAATCTATAATATTCAAGAAAATGTTTCTTTCATTTCTTGAAATTCTTTTTATCAATTCAACATGAATTATAACAAGGTATGAAAATTAAAAGAGAATTTGCATAGTGATCTATATTGGTTCAGTCATACAAAGGTCTACATCAAGTTTCTGACTTAGCTCCCCGATAAATCCCGTCTTCTGACTATAATATTCTTTACAAGCACCATGTACAGACAATATTATAATCAGAAATTCAATCACCTAATCTTAATTTCATAAGATTACACAAACAATATAATTCTTGCACCTCAAGAATCCACTTGAGAAAACCATGTTTTTATATAGAATAAATGTCTAAGAAAACATCTTTGAAACATATCTCTGAAAGGTTTATCAAATAAAGTGTAGGGCACAAATTGTATGTAAGACATTGTTAATCAGTCAAAGCATACAATCTATCTAATATACATTAAATATTTATCATTTATGGAGACTAATGACGAACTTTGCTTTGAATGCTTCATTCCTTAACAGATTAAATCAAAACACTATGTTGGAATTGACAAATATGTTAAAGAGAAGAACCATGTTTTTCCATCAGAACCAAATCTATAAGATTGTAGAGAAAAGAAGATAAAGTCATTATATAACTACTCTATGTTGACATTGCTTCTACAAGCCCTATTTAGTATGAAAAGTTGATAAGTAGTCTCCTTGATCAGATAAAAAATACAATTTGATAAAATACATTTAACACTCACATTAAATGAGTTAAACGATCACCTATCATCACAACAAAAAAAAAATAATAATAAAGACAAAAAAAAACAAACTTATGAGTTGATCTTTTGATAAAACTTTTAAACGAAGAACTCACTGTCACAATTTATAAGTTACGTTAGCTTAGCTGCCTATATTTACAACTACAAAAATATTGTTACATGATAAAAGAGAGACAATATAAACAAGTGATAAATAAAATTATACCGTTGATACTTGATAACCAAAAATGTTCTACAAATAATATTAGTCAAATACTAACATTATTTTTTCCTAACATTACTCCGTGACAATTTAATAATTGAAAAAAAAAAAAAAACAAAAACTTCGAACGTTTTAAGTACTTTCTCAAGGAGATGCGAATAACAGTTTCGTTTCATAACATTTTTCTTATTATTATTAAATAAATTTATTCCGAGTCTTGTTAAAAAATTCAGTTTCTTTCTTTTTAATGGAGCTCACAAAAAACCCATTCAATAAAAGCTCACATAACAATATGATTTAGATTTTCGCATGTATTATCGGAGGAATTTGGCGTATATAATAGTTCTAATTGACTCAATTAAGATTGAATTTAATACAACATGTTTGTGTTCTCTACCAACAAAAAGATTATGTTAGAAAAAACATATCTAGTATATTTGTCATCACGATTTCAACAGAAATTAATTATTATTTTTTTTAATAAATATTTCGTGTCAAATGTCAATACTATATTATTCCAAAATAATGTTATGGCGGTTACAAAAGCACAGATTAATTACAATAAAGCATTATAATTTGTGTAGGTCCCATTAATTTTATTTGTGTGTCACGTTGGTCACTAAGCAGTCAGATTTAAAACTTTAGATATTAGTCAACGAGGTGATGAGTGGAAGATTTCTATATAAGACTTCGATATTTGGTCATGTAACCACAACCCATAGCTACTGAAATTCCCAAAGGAAAAAAATACAAGATGAAAAGCAAGTTCCTTTTGATTTTCCTCTTCTTAGGAATTCTTTACTGTGAAGCAGAATATTTCAATCCCAACTGTTACGAGTACGACTACTTAGAGCTAGCCTTAAGGTGGCCAAACACCTATTGCTTGACACATGAAGGTGCTTGCAGGGACATAGTGCCCCAATATTTCACTATTAGTTACCTTCGTCCCAAGAAAAGGGCAGGACCTGACCTGCAATATTGTCCCACACAAATTAGTCTGCCAAATAGCACTGTTAGTATCTCCTGCATTACTATACATTACATTGTGGTCACTGTTATAACATTTTTATGTGTTTGTTTTTTAAGTTTCCTTTTTGCAAATTGTCCACGAATTTGATTAGAGTAAAATTCTATTTGATAAATTTTTATATAAGTATTTATAAAGAAGAAAATAAAAAAAAAAAGTTGAAGTTCATAAATTGATTTTAACATTAAAAAAAATCAATTCATTTATTTTTTTTATTTTCATATTGTATTCATAAAGAAATTTATTAAAATACGATATTTCATTATTTCAAGTTTATAACTGAATATAATTCTATAATCCAAATATATGCAGATAGAGGCAAACAAAAATGACCTACTCAAATTTTGGCCTGATCTAAGAACGGATAATTTTATAGAGAGCAAGTCATTATGGAAAGACCAATGGAAGAAGTTTGGATCATGCTATAATTTGATGCCAGATGACTATATTGTTTATGCACTCAACAGCAGAAAGAGAAACGACCTGAAGAAAATCTTGACAAATGCAGGTAAATATCATTAAATGAAATTCAAATTCATGTTACACAAAAAGTAAGGGAAAAACAATAAAATTTGACTTGGCCTTGTTTCTAGTTTTTTACTTTTATTTTTATATTCATTCAGCCAAAGAAAAAAAATTATTATATAATATCTCCATGACAACGAGGATTGAATTTATACTGTTATATAAAATTCATCATTCTTGAAATTCTTCACTCTTGATTTAAGGAACATTCTAAATAAGGGTGTGGGATTGTGATTTGATTGTTAGGTATTGTTCCGAGTGGAAGTTCATACCCAACGCGGAGAATACTACAAGCTTTCAGAAAAGCTTTGGGTGTGAATGTGAACATAATCTGTGAACCAGATAGAAATGGATATGTTTATCTTGCAGAGGTTCATCAATGTGTTGATGTTCAAGGAACAACACCTATAGACTGCGATAATAAGGCCAGAGGGTGTGATGATGATCCCATCTATCCTTATATGGGATTCCAACCAGATAAAGATCCCAAGTAATAACACCATGTAATCATATGCATAAACTCCTATATAATTGTATTATCCCTAGAACAAATATGTGTTCAAAATAAGGGGTTCTAAGTGTATGCTAAGAAGATAATTATAAAATATTTGAATAAAATTTAAAAGAAAATGTTTGGCCAGATATGTGCAAAACATTTTGTTTTATCATGCATGTGAAGTCAAAATGATCTCATGACGGATTTGATCCAATAAAGGATGCGGTCAAAGAAGAAATTCTTGTAAACAATGATGATAGGGCTTAACCATACAAAAGAATTCATTTTACAAGTTAAAGAAGGGGGTCCTAACACCAATGGAAGAGGGAAGATGAAAAGTTAAAAATTAAAAAACGTGAGAATTGAAATTTTATAGAAGTATTAAATTAAAATAAAATATATAAAGTAATGTTAACTAGGTTTATATTAAACCGTTGAAAATTACTTAGAGTTTTATTAGAGAATCCCGAATTATAACCAGTGTTGTTAAAATCTTTATTAATTACATACCTTCCAGGAGGATATGATAATTTCAGTTAAATAATCTCCGTTAAATTCAAGAATTTTCGCAGTGATGTGTTGATAACTACTATTTTAATTCATAGAAAAAATTAATTAAGATGAGATGTTCCAATCCTACATTTGTACTTGTCAAGGTATCGTTTAATAATATTATTATGGTAACATTCAAGAAATATTTTAGCATAAATCGTATAACATACTAAAGTAAAGAGAATAGAAAAATTCTTTGTTGTTAAAGCTAAATAAAACATTAATAATAAGGTAAAACATAGTTTGCAATTTTTAAATTCATGAAAAATAATTGAGTTAAATATGTTTTAAGCTATTGAAAATGAGTAAGTTTTAATTTGAATCTCTAAAAGAAAAATGATCTGTTTGTCATCTTTTAAAATAAATGGTTATTTGTCTAACTTTAAATAATTGTTACACGTAAAAAAAAAATAGTAACTTTAGATTTTAGAGGGAAAAAATCAAATAAAAGAATTTTACAGGGATAAAAATTAATAAAATTTCTTAATTTCCTAATTTCACGGGATGGGCCAATTGAAGCTGACTGCTTCGGAGGTAGCTGCCATCGAGAATCTCGCCGCGCTTCCTCATCCGCTGGATTGCAAGCTCGTTCTGTTGCTTGCGAACTCGGCGTTCAGGGAGAGGGGTTTGGAGAGTGAGTATTTGGTTTTTTGGTGGTTTGGGGTTTGTGTAAATTCCACTTGCTGAAGTGTTTTATCTCGTGAATGTAGGCATCATGGGGAAAAACTTGTGACGTGAGCTGAAGTACCGCTACAATGTTACCGAGCTCGAGGTCCCCGAGTCTCGAGAGGAAGATGCCTCCCCTCTGAAGGTTAATCGGGAGAGAAAGAGGGGAGCAAAGGAGGTCGGGGGAACCTCTGCCCCTCTAGATGCCGAGGAGGTTACCTCCAAGGCTACTGATGTTGGCGCGGTGGACCTTACCGAGAGTCCACCGCCCAAGGGGGCTCCTCAGGTGGCCTTTGAGGAGGTGGCTTAGGCTACCAAGGTGGCGGTTCCGGCCGCCGAGCAGGCTGCTCAGACTGCTAAGGTAAGTAGTGTTCCCTGACTTTCGTGGTTTCCCGTATGCTGTCCTTTTCCTTTTTTGACATGGTGCTGGTTTTTACAGGCAAGGTCGGAGATTCCTGTCGCCGACCCTCCAGTTGCCGAGCAGGGGACGCCGGCTTCTGCCTTTGCCGAGGTTCGTGGCAAGGGGCCGAGTTCTGAGGTCCCTGCGCCCACACCTGCAGCTTCGGAGCCGCCGTCTGGTTCATCGCAGGAGGCTTCCCAGAGCCAGTATATAGCTCACCGCTTCGGGAAAGGCCTCTCCAAGGT